AATGAACACCTCAATTAATGTGTTAATCTCCTAGCTGGTTAAATTGAAACACTGACGTAAGAAGAAGTTGCAAACCTAGGCGAGCGATCTCTGCAAAACGGCTTTTTAGTTGCTTTATTGGCTTAGATACTTAACTTCATCTCTTTCCTCGTTTAGACATTGATGACTGTACACCGTATCCATGTAGTAACGGTGCAACATGTGAAGACCAAGTAAACAACTACACTTGCATATGCGTAGTCGGCTTTTACGGAAGGCACTGTACCATTAGTAAGTAAAACACATGTACACATTAAAGTATCTGCAGTTACTTGTACTTATGCTTTCCCCCAAACTCCTCTTCCCCAACTCCCGAATAAGAGCTATATCTGCATTAGTATCGGCATTAGTAGGAGAAGAGCCACCTCGTGGAAGTATTGCTAATAAAATCGTTATTATTATTATTCTTATTGTTATTTTTAGTGTTTTGTTTTTTGACATTGTTATTGCACAACTGATATTTTTGTTTAGTTGGATGTAGAAAAAAACATATACTTTGAAACTAATCTTAACTTTCAGTGCGTTAAAAGACATTTTTTCGAATTTTCTGCGTAGTCTTTCTTTAAGGCCTGTGCTCTTTTCAGCCTCGCCGTATGCTGTTACTAGTTACAATGACTGTACCTTAGGTATACAAGGATGAATCAATGAAAGGTTTCTGGCAACATAAAACGTTAGGCTGCCTTCAAAGAAATAGAAACGGATTACATCTAAGTTCGTAGTAAATAGCCGCCGTTATTGACAAGTCAAGAAATCTAATAAGTTCGCCGCCCTTTTTTAAAAAGTAAAAAAGTATTAAGCAAATGTGGTTGGCGAAAGCATGATTTCGTGTTGGCGTTTGTGATCAAATAAGCTGCTGATAGTTCTCAGGCCAGTGTTTCTGGTCACTCTAGTAATAGTTGACTCTCTAGATTACGTAAATCTCTATTTGTGTAATAAACATTCGTCTCGTTGTTGCGGTAATATTAGGACCAAAGAAATAAACTAGATTTCAGATCTGCAATTGACTTTTGATATCTTGGATTAACCTTGTTTTTTTCTTTTTTAATCAATCCTTGCGACTGGTGTCTCAACCACAAGAAACTCCGTGTGCATGTGTCGTGTATGATACCAAGAGAGATCATACAATGTGAAGATAAGATACCTTCAAATCAAATACAGTAGGTGTGATCATAATAGGACAGAGTAGGAGTCTTAAGGGGCGTTGGTTGGGATATCTAATTGCGAAAAAAAAGGTTTTTTTTTTCAAACCATGCAGATCATGCGGAAACAATTTGCGGTGGACTGGTTGACTTCCAGAAGACTCTCCTTCATGATTCAGTGCGTCATAGCGAGGCGTAGTCAACAGATGAAAAAATCTCTTTTTGTGATTTAACAGTTAAAAGTTCTCTTTAATTTGCAATATTGTAAATTGTGCTAAATCGCGTCCTTGACCTTCCATTTTAGCCTTATATTTTCAATTATGTTTCTTTTTGTAAGATCCAGACGATTGTGCTTCCAGCCCGTGCCAACACGACGGAACCTGTACAGATGGACTTGATGACCACTCCTGCGCATGCCCAGCTGGAACTGCAGGGAAGTCGTGCGAAATCAGTAAGTGCATAACATCGATCAACTTTCCTAATAGAGTCCAATCTCGTTCCCAGAGTCCGCGTTACCTTTGTCCAGCGGAACGGGCAACGGGGACCTCGGGAATAATCCATTTTCTCGTGACAAGATTCTTGGTTTCGTCTCATCTGCACAGGCGCGAACCAATTCAAGAGCAAAAAACTAAGAAAGAAACTAAGATTTCATGAAACGATCCAGTTTTCTTTTGGCAAATTAGGGCATACGGAATTACGGAGAAGCTGCACAACGGCCCTTATTTATTGAGCTATTTTCCTGATTCGGTTCAAAATATCAGTTATTTATGCTGTTGTTACACTGATCAACTACCTGAAACGTTGGAACCTATTGATGCGAGGTCATATTCAGCTGGTTTATTGATCTGTCAAAAAAAGTGATAAATACCCCATGGCCTTTAAAAGTTTCGCTAAAGAAGGAAGGAAAAAGGGCCAACATCGCAAAAGATGTCAAGAAATGGTTGGCCTTTTTGTATTTAAGAGGTTTTTCTTGTGGTAACAACAAAAACGGCCTAGACAGCGGTTTTGTTGAACACAGAGGGGGATACTTTATCAGATTTGAACAATTTCCTAGTCCCAAGAGCGGCGATTTGACTGAAAAAAAAAAAAAAAAAACGAAAAACGAACATGCTAAAAAATCCTAAAAAATTCAATTGCTGCACCCAGTTGCCCACTCCCCCACCCCCCTCTTCGTCCAAACATTGATGTATAATTTTATAGTACTAGTATTTTGAATCACCAGAAGTAGATGACTGGCAGAAATCACCAGCTAGTCTTTTTAGAAATGCCAGTTTAATACTTACATAAAAAGTAATAATTGTTTATTGCTTTTAAATGGGATAATAAATCCCCTGTTTTTGCTTCTTGACACTTCCGTTTAATATAAAGAACAAACAAATGACATAAAACAAATCATATCCATCACAAAAAAAAAGTTAAAAAAAATGTAAAAAAAAAAGACAAACAATCTCACTCTTCTATCGCTATTTCAACGTTTTTCAATTCTTTGACAAACTTTGGGATTTCTACCACTTTGAAAGGGGCATCTCGTTGACATTTCTTCACCGTAACAGAAGTCAGAAAAAAGTAAACGAAAAATGTTTCGCATCAGCTTAGCTTAATTATTTACTTTACAAACCTTGCAATCACATCGAGCGGACAGTCTTTATCGAGTTCTCCATTGCAAGTAAATGTCATGTTTGTTTCCGCAGACGGGTTTTGATGGAGATATGCTTTATCTTGTGTGCCTTGTTGTGGAAGCATATCGCCTACGCTTAGATAGAATAAGCATAGGCTCTGCCAGGCTTCAGATTGGCGTTCAACAGAAAAATGTTCGATTTACTAAGCTTGAAAACAACTTGATAGTCCCTTCCGCGCTGTCTTTTCCTCCATTTTTATTTACATTTTGACCTCTGGTTCTACTACTCATGCTCAGATGCTCAGCCAATGAAAAATCGAGTTGAACCGGATTATCCCAGAGATACCCGTCGCCCTTTCCGTTGGCCAAAGATGACGCAGACTTTGGAACGAGATTGAATAGACATAATCGCCGTCCTAAATCAGGGAGTTATCACTAAATTTGCACTCATTCAATCCTAGTAAATGACTCCATATCTATTCCACCATTTTTTCTTGCATTTTATAATGGCAAGCTATTTGTTGGTTCCTAGAAAAGGGTTTTTCTTTCTGTTGAACCCTTATACTTTAATTAATTGTAAAATCAACAAAATCCAAAATATTTTAAGGGGGGGGGGGGGGGGGGGTATGAGTGATTTGGTTTGGTCTTTTTCCAGCATTATATCCAATGAGATTTTTTTTTCAGTGCTAGATCTTTTTTCCGCCCCTTAGCTTCGCAAAACGTTCACCTTTAGTTAGTGATTTAACGTTTCTCACCAACCCATTGTGTGAATGAGTGACGAAAGTAACTGTCTGGTCCAAAAATTAATACTGATTTTAGATTTAAAATAAGTTATAGATTTCACTGATAGCTGAAGGAGACTGGAGCTGGAGATGTAAAGTTGTTTTTTTTTGTGTTTTATTATTATTGCTATTATTATTATTATTATTATTATTATATAACATAATTGCGATTGATTTTCTGTCAGCATCCGAGTCCAAACCATGGACTTTGTGAGGAAAAGAGGGTTTCTACCATATTATTATTATTATTATTAGTTTTTTTATAGTTTTTTTTTTTTTTTTTTTTTTTTTATTAACTTTTCGATGCTTTTTATAATTGTTATTAGTAGAATTAGTATTAGTATTCGAATAACGGTTTTTAATTGAAATGAATTTTTTAATCGGAACTATGGGGGTTTTTTTAATTGAAATGAATTGTAAATAGTACTTGTACTGGATAGTTTTTTCTTTAAGCAAAATTTAATTGTAAATAGGTCGGATTTTGTAGTTAGTTTTCTTATCAATAAAAGATTCAGATTTGAAAAAAAAAAAAATTATTATTATTATTATTATTATTATTATTATCATTATTATATATAAGGGTAATTGAACTGAGTGGAGTGCAATTTGGTCTGAAATCATACGCGTGATTCCAAAATTGAACGAGCGCGCAGCGCGAGTTCGATTTGAAATCACAAGTATGATTTCAGACCAAAATTGCAGGACACGAAGTTCAATTACAACTTTATTACATCCATTTTGAAATCGCAAAATTATTTAGTCAGTACCAATATTTTATTGATCAAGTAGCCGGTTTGTTAAAAAGCCGAAACAAAAAGGCTTTTACATCTCATTTTGTCTTCAAAACAGAAATGATGCGATATAGAACAAAAATGGTGCAATTTAAAACAGAAATGATGCGATTTAGAACATGAATGAGCGATTTGGAACAGATGCGATTTAGAGCAAAAAATGGTGCGATTTAGGAATAAATCACACCGCTGAGAGCCAATCAGATTGCACGTATAGCCAGTGATTTCAAAGTGAATGTAATAAAAGATATAATTGCGATTGATTTTCTGTCAACATCCGAGTCCAAACCATGGACTTTGTGAGGAAAAGAGGGTTTCTACAATATTATTATTATTGTTGTTATTATTATTATTATTATTGTTATTATTATTATTATTATTATTATCATTATTATTATTATTATTATTATTATTAATATTTTGCCATTTACTGATCTATCGTTAATTCATGTGCTTTTGAATCATGTCTCATAAGACAACTCGAAAACTGAAGTGACTCATGATCAGTTCAGTGTCATGTTGTCTCAGTTCAGCGGTAATCATTTAATTAGAGTGATAATAGTATCAAGGATTACCAATAAAACAGAAAAAGGTTTTCATCGATTTATCAACTCCTGTTTGCTTTTTTTCAGATTTTGATGAATGCTCTCCAAACCCTTGTGTTAATGGGGCAACATGCACAGACGGATTAAATGACTATAGCTGCACATGTGTAGTCGGATACCGGGGCAAAAACTGCAACATCGGTAAGTCTGCTTATCGGAGCAGCTTTGGAGCTACAAAAAGTATTTGACAAGAGGGCAGTTTAATTTACTCATAGCAGTCTAGAGTCTGCTTTTATTATTTCTCCATGCTGATAATTTGAGCTTTGAAAGTGTTGGACGGACTTAACACGGTTTGAAATTCTTGCGCATGGCATAACGTAAGTTACTATCAAACGTTTTTGGGCGCCTACTCATTCACATCAGGAAACCAGAATTTGCGCCATTCCGTTTAAGAAGCATTAAAAAATCATATGAAATCTAGTTTGAAGTGTTTTCTTTCTTATCTTTATTTGGTTTTGTCTCTTTAGCCTATTGGTAACATTTTCTATTGGTTTTTTCTGCCACAAAACCTAATTTATTCGCTCAATAAATGTTCAAGCTCCAAGACAGTAATGTGCAGATATCATGAAAACTGATGAGAAAACGCGCGGAGCTGGAAAGCTAGTACGTGGATCAGGCGGGTCCTATTTTCCATTGACCGTGTTTTCGAGGCGTCCCCACTATCGTAGAGCCTAGCACAGGCTACAGTGCCTATTAAAATATAATATATATTGACGCACTAGATTGGATGGTGGAAGGCTTTTACTACGCAAATAACTAAGTGAAAATATTACCTACACTGATTACTTACTCATTCACTGTAACTGACTTTGATTTTACAGAATGTGATGTGAATGACGGATGGGTGATGTTCAACAGTTATTGTTACAAATATATTGCGATCATAAAAACCTGGCAAGACGCCAAAACGTATTGCAGTAGCTTGAATTCAAAGTTGCTGACCATTCACTCACAAGCAGACAATGACTTTGCACACTCACTCATCCCTGAGGACGGAAAAAGCATATGGGTAGGCGCAAATGACTTAGCCGTGGATGGCGTCTGGGTGTGGGAGGACGGAATAGCTTGGGGAAGTTACACAGGGTGGGCAACCGATAGCTCAGAACCTAATGGAGGCAGCTCTGAGAATTGTGTAATGATGTACAAATCTGGGAAACCTGGCCTCTGGAATGATGCAAGTTGCAGCGCCATGCTTCATTTTGTTTGTAAAAAGTAAAGCCAATTTCAAGCTTAGGAAGCGACCAGCAGTGTATAGCAATGTACAAAAGTTGGAACCCTGGCCAATGGAACGACGTACCTTGTACTGGCACAAATGATTTTGTTTGTAAGAAGTAATTCGCTCAGTAGAATGTCTTACACACAGCAGCTAACATAGACTTAGCACTTTTGTAAGTACCAGAAAGAAACTATTATAGTACATTGCAATGGTATTTGTAACATACCTTTACCTAACGAAGCCGCAGGCCATGGTAGAGCTATAAGCACGTTGTAACATATCTTAATGTAATATTGCATACCGTATCCCAGCGGACGTTACAGTTACAAGACAGTGTTAGTAAAATCATATAAATCATGCTACTTATTTTCGTCAGGCCTGGCCTGTCTAATCTTCAATCCATAGCAGTACAGTCCTGCCAACAGGCCCATAATACCGTGCCTGGTTACCCTAATAACTAATCAGACCATTATATTACTGGCTCTCGACGTAAATGTAGGTCATTTTCTTGGTAGGCAGTGCTTATATTCAGCACAGAAAGAAAAAACGAGAATGAATGAAAAACAAAAACAAAAAACAATCGCATCAACTATATGTACTCTTGTTGAACTATTTGTTACTACCAGTGTCTATAAGCAATAAAGAATTGAAACTGTTAATGAATTGCGCTGTTTGGAAATTTACATTTGATAGTGCATGCATGTTTTGTCAGGATCAGAGAATTACAAGTATTGCGTTTTTTTTAGTTTCACCAAAATAACGAAACACGCTTTGATAAGACGCAGGTTGTATCCTGGACAATCACTTATCCGTTGGGTTTCAATTATTCAAATGGTGGATAACCACTATCTACAGGAAAAGGTCTTTTTCAGGCGATTCCCCAGAGAAGCTACTTCCTCATTATTTCCTTGAAGGCCATTCAATTTAATCGGCAAAACGTAAATTGGTGATTGTTCTGCCTCTTATGCTTACTGTTTCTTTGTGGTCGTGTTATGCATCAGTCATAATTCTCCACGGAAAGACGTAAAAGGGAGTCGGTAAGACTAAACGACAGCCCATGAAAGCGTTCTCGTGTCCTGGTGTCCTCGTGTCCATCAAAATCCAACTCCCTGTTGTTCGTGTCAGTCCTCCTTGCCACTGAAGTTTAATTTATAACCCTCCTGCATGAGTGGATTTTTCCAGCGGTACCTGCTCATTTTATGTGTTGATTCTTCCAATTTTTTTTTTGCCTGCCATTTGCAAGGTTCCCAGGTTCCACTTGCCAATAAAGATATTACTTCTGGCACGCATCTTGGTAGTTGTTATATTAGTCCCATGCTTTTCCAACTGCTGCACGCGCAGCGGACGGTGCGGCACTTGTTCGCCCGGGCAACGACCGACCCGGTATGGACTGAGAAATGGCTGTGATTTAAAAGCCTGGAGGAGAACGTCCCTCATGAAGCCTGGCTTAGGATCGGGTATAATTCTTCTTCTAGATGGATTCCGGCCACGAATAAAGAGCCCCATCTACCCGAATCTGATACAGCACAGGTGACTCGGTTCCTCAAGCGAAGCCCCTAATGCTTGTTCTAACATTACATCACTTGCAACTTCAGTACGTACTGCTCATTGAAAATCTCGATGACAAATCCGTGAAGAAAAAAAAAATCGATATTAGACAAGATGATTCTGCAATGGAATGTTGCAGTGAAACTAGAGCATGCGGTATTTATTATTAACAAAAACACCATTGAAAAAAAAAAAAAAAAAAAAAACACTTTATCATCTAACTTCTGAGACTTTATCATCACGGCACCATAACTGGTTTAGGATAAGGACACGTGATCTATTCAAGGCTACGTTTGGTAAGACTGTCGTGCTATTGGCTTGATACCAAAAACAAAAAAATAATTAGAGAGAGGCAATGAAAGACCTTGATTGTTTTAAAATCATCAACTTTGGAGATCCGTCTAAAAGTGAACGATGGGTGAAAATCGCGTTTTTATAGAGCATTTCAAAACTCAGAGGTTCTGTCAACTCGGAAAGCAACCTGATGCTGGTTCATTCGAAAAGAAGCTTTAATTTTAAATTGTTCTAAGTTTCATCTGATTTTTCCGTACGATTTTCGAGTGCGGTTGCCGAAGTAATGTGTGGGGACCCCATATGAATTTCTCTCATTTGGCGTACGGAATCTGGAGAGAGTGGTTTCGTGTATTCCTAGGTATAAGGTATGCTTTGTGCAACCGGCGCATAACGTGCGACGACCCTATAATCCTTAATCTACCTAGCGCAATTATCACACAGGAGTTTATCTGTTTATTTTGGAACTGACCAAATCAGCCTTATCCTTTTTTTTTACCAAAATAGATATTGCACGAGGCCGAAAAGAGATTTAGATTATAATTTGAAAATCCCCGCAATTTGAGATGATCCAATTGTTGACAAAGTGATTCGAAGTTTCAACTCTTTTACGAACTTTAATGGCTAAAAAGGGACTTAGAAACTCCTATGAAGTTGTTGATTTAACAATATGTTGACAAATGAAGTTCGCCCTTCTTCTCGAGTCCATTGTTTCTCCAAGAGCAAGGGGTTAATCTAAACTTCACCGTGGTTAAGAGCCGGTTTCAGCAGAGTTTCAGAACTGATTGCTTGCGTGTAAGAAGCTAACGGTTCATGTTTTGACTAAAAACTCAGTGCCCCGCTGTAAACGCGAACTGCACGCGATGTATTGTGACGGTACCCAAGAAAACCGAGGTGGTTTTGTGTTGCAAAAATAAATATTAGCTACGGAGCTCAGACAAAAATGTGTTTCCTTTTCTTTTTTCTTACCATTTAACATATCGCTTCTTTAAATGGTTCTTCACGCCACGGCCTCCAAATAACTCAGTTTAAAGTTTTGTATAGAATCAGATATTGAACCTGTCTTAACCTTCAGCCAAGGTCTAAAGTATGAGGCAAAAGGTATAAGAAGTCTTTCTCCAAACATGGACCTAAGTGAACCAGAATTGAACAAATTGCCTATCTTGGAATAGAAGCTGTACAGATACCAGAACAGGGCATTAACAAGGACTCTGTTACACTTCAATCTATGAGATTTTTCAGCAACTTGCCTCGCAATTTTGTTAATCAGTTGCGACGCCACTTTCACGAAAATTTTAACAAGGAGTGATTGTACTCGCAAGACGTGTTTTTGCTGTTGCAAGCGCAAGGTGGTATGACGTAGAAAAATCAATTTTAACTCATTCATCAATTGTCAGTCCCCGTAAGTTTCCCTTACTAAAACAAACGGCGTAGGTGATGTTACAGTAAATGCAATCGTCACCTTTTGGAAGGTAGCGCGACGGCCTAACTTCTTTGCGAGACAAGTTGAGGTTTGAAGGTAACCAAAAGGTATAATTATGATCTTGGCCTTCACCTTGAAAGCTGAACAGTTAGTTGTAACTAACCTGATAAGTGTGTTTGAGTAAGGACTAACTCCAGGCTTTTTTGCATCCCTGATTCCTCCTCATGTCAAACATAGGAAACAGATCACTATCCAGTGTCTCAATCTCCTTAATGCACGCACATGGGCCGAAACTCTTGAGAACAAAGGATCAGGTCTGAAATACGCCAGTACTGCACACCCGACCAGTGTTTGCCAGGGGCAACCCCGGGATTAAAGCATCGTTTAACCTGATGTGCTCTTCCTTATTTCAATTAAGGTGGCCCGAACCTATACATTCATTTGCCTGATGGCTATATTTTTGTATCGCGTTTCTGGGCAGGAACGATTTAACCGATTTCATTTATTTTCTTGTAGGTATGGAAACGTTCTGGATATTGGCATATATTTAATTTAAAACCCGTTTTTTTTTTACGAAAAATGTATTAAATAACTTCGATGAAACCTTACGACAGATTTTTCTATAACTTTAGCAAATAAGCCTCAAAGCTCTCTGGTTTTATATCTGCAAGTTTGAAGTCAATCGTAACCATACAACTCACTGGAAAAAATGCTAGTCAATTTTAACCTTAAAATGCTACGCTAACGCATTTCTGAAAGTTGACGTTTCACAATTAGAGGAAGTCAGCGCCGATGGATTGGGGGACTATCTCCTACATGTATCTGCAGGGTATTCTTACCCAAAGTTTTATTGTAAGAAGCTGAGTAATCAGAAAGCTACTGTTAATACAGTTCGCACCACAAGAAGAAAAACTTATGCTGAATGCGGGGCAAGATTAAAGAACTTCTAGAAATCGGTTAAGTTGTTCCTATGCATATAAACAGGTTCGGGCTACCATAATAAGTAACTGAGGTCAACATTTTTCTGAGCAGCATAGCTGATGTAAATACGTCTCATAATTTCATGTACCATCTCCTGTCTATGATCAAATAAAAATTTTGTGCGTCAAATTTATATGAATAAATGTGAGGCAACATTCAATTCATTTAGCAATCGGCTAATCGGCTAATCGTATATCGCCAAATCTATATATACATCCTGAAATCGCCTTACGCCGTGGTACGTCGAGTCATTGATTTAAGTCTTCTTAAGTCTCTTTAATCTGCATTAAGCAATCAAAATATTGCTTTCCACCTTACCACAAGCGGACCGTTAAAACAGGGACAATAACAACGACTCATTTAGTACATATCATCTTACAAATAAAAGCAAGTTTAGCTACACGTTAGTGAAGACGTCATATTTTTTCTACGATTGCAAGTTTATTCCGGGGAATTTACCAAGCTTGTTTCTTAAATAGAAAAGAAACATTTCATAACAATTATTCATATGTGTTATAAGTTATATCTTATTGCTATCGTACAAGACACATTTACCTTTCGTATATATTGCATAATTTCTATGTATATGTTACAGGTAAAAGTTAAATTCAGATCACAAAATTTTAACCGGGGTTGATTCTTTGTTTTTTTTTTGTCTCTCCTAGCCATAATTATGACAAGGAGACAAAGAAAATAGAGAATCAACCTAGGTTAAAAGATCTTAACGTGAATTTAATTCTGACCTGTAACATATACGTGCAGCTATATCTCTTTAATATATCCATCAGCTCGATGCTTATTGGCGTGAATTGCATAAAGTTATTCACCTAATTAAGCTTCGATCTTCGATCTTCGAAGATGGATAGCAAAAATTATAATGACTCACTGGCAATCAGCGAGGATCACGATGGAATCTTGCAAATAACTGTAACTGCCATTAAGGTGCAGCCCCATCAAGATTCCATGCTTCTCACAAACATTATGGAAGAGTTTGTATCGGTGGAAGTCCTCTCAAAGTGGCTTAATCTTGCTAAAAATTACCATGAAACTGCTTGAAAACTGATAAAATGTCCCTTTGGCGAAAGACTGAAGGCAAAGAATTTGAAGAAATCTAAATTCAATGCTTTCACCTTAGAATGAATAAAAACACTGTCTTTTCTGCTGTTCATTGGCCATTTTGTGCATCAACGAGTTTACTTTAAAAAATTCTATACAAAAAGTCATGCAGTTTAAAAAGAAGGTTACAAACGTTCTCTTCTGTACAGGTCTTTCAGCGGTCGATGATTTGACAAGTGGCGCGATGATCACTAGACTTGCTCTCAGTCAACATCAAAAGGTTATTAATAGTGCTACCAACAAGTTCTTAGACTGGGGCGTTGCAGTGTGGTACTAAACGCTAAACTGAGAAGGGGGTTAACACTAGGTATGGTGGGACTAATTAGTAATTTAAAACAAAATAAGAGAGCTAAAACAAGCAATACATACGCTTCGTTTGAAAAAAAAATATATACAAAAATATTCATTGAGCATTCGGGGAGCCCTTGGCAGATTACAATCGTTAAAAGTTCTTCAGCAGCGTTCGTCTATTTTTACGTAAAAGGTTTCTGGTATCAGAGTAAGGCCAAACTGACCCACAAGATTGATGCCTTGATACTCGTTCGACAAACCATCCTGCGAGAAACGGAAGCTGTGAAGTAGTGCCGCAAGCAAGACAGAAACCTGTTTGATAGCCAGAACCTCCCCAGGGCACTTACGACGTCCTCCAGAGAACGGCAGAAAACCTCGGAAGAACTTAGGATCGACCACCTGACCTGCACGATCCAGAAAGCGTGTGGGATCAAAGACTTCCGGATCTTTCCAGAGAGCTGGATCACGATGTACTGACCACAGATTGACAAATACGATTGTGTCTTTTGGGACCGTGAAGTCTTGGATTTTCGTCTCGCTGGTTGTGGAACGAGGTATTGCAAGAGGTACCATGCTGGTAACCCTTAACAACTCGAAGACAGTGGCTTGAAGGAGAGGGAGAGACGGTATGTCCCCTAAAGTGGGCAGTCTTTCTTGACCTATCACTTGATCTAATTCATCGTGCAGCTGTTGCTGAATGTCGGGGTATTTTATAAGGTATGCCAAGCTCCAGTAGAGAAGGGCGGAAGAGGTTTCAAAACCGGCACCAAAAAGATCTGTAACAGCTGGAATGATCTGTTCGTCACTGAGCAAAGGAGCAATTGTAAGACCTTCTGGATGATTCTCTTTCTCCTTTTCAGTTTCCTTTTCCACGGCGCTCATGAAACTGTCTGCAATATTGCGAACATTGACTCCATCGTATGTTTCTTTGTTTTGAACAAACAGTTGTGAAAGGATATCCGAGACTATCTTCATTACAGTCTTTAGATCTGAAAGCGCTTTATTAGGTAGATACTTTACCATGGGCAGGAAATCAACATGGCTGCAGCCATGGATGGCCTGTCGGAAACTGTCGGCGAGGTCGATGATTCTTCGAAGACCTTCGTCGTCATAAGACCAGTTGATTCCGAACAGAGCATTCAGGATGATGTTTGCCGTGGCTGACTTGAGAGCTGCCAGAGCGTTTACAGGTCTACCCTTCTGCTGTTTGAAGTATCGAATCAAGCGTTGGGACTCCTGCGACAATTTATGTCCCAGTGCATCGCTGTCCTTAACGAAGTTGTGTATTGCACTGACTGCGATCCTCCGGGCAAGACGCCAGCGAGGTGTGTAATCACTGAGACTTAAGCTGCCAGCTTTAGAATTGGCCAGGCTAAAGGTGTGTAGGCTTGGTCGCCCAGCAAAGGCTTTTGGGTGCTTGATGATGGTTTCTTCGATGGCGTGTAATCCATTCAGCACCACCACCAAGCGATTTCCAAGCATCAGGCTGAACACATTGCCATATTTTTGGGCCACATTAGTGAAGGCAAGATGGGGGTCTTTTCGCAGGAGAAAGGAAGCCCCTGTCAATGACAGAAAGAAATGAAATTAGGGAAAGATGACTCGGCGTGTCGAGTTCGTTTTGTATGTTACATAAAATGTTCGAATACCGAAAATTTCTTTTTACTTATGTACTAGATAAACAGTTTATATTAGGGACGGTGTTTCCTTCGCGTCAGAAAATCAGCCTGCCTGGTGATGGATTATATCAGTGGGTAAAGTCACGCGATTATCTATATTGTTTGTCTGTTATAGGCTGTCTGAGCTCAAGTTCAATTAAAAAATTCAACCACACTTGCAAAATGTAAGGCCAGTGAAAAGATTAAATACTTTTTTGTAAATTTTAAACCGTACCAAGAAAAGTGGCAATTAAGATGGTTTTGACTTTGAAGACGTTGAAAAAGGTATGGGCATGTCATTGATAGCGATATACAAAAGTCCATTTTGCAACTCGATTGCTTTGTCATCACAAGTGTTTGGCAGTGATAATCCAGAAGTGAAAAGATATTGGTGTTTCATCTTGTTGCTTTCTCAGTGTTTCCGAGGAGTAAAAGTAGTGTAACTTTTTATATGTATAAAACGACCTCCCAAGGCAAAAAAGAAACTGTTGTGGTTGTCGTGTTAAAAAGTTGAAAGGCCAGCAATTAAATGAACTGCAGAAAGGTTCAAGTTGTTGTTGGTATACTCTACATCGGCTACAATAATGTCAGTGGTGTAGGTGGAGCAAACTAAGTAAGGATGAGATGTAGTAAGACTTATATCAGTGAGAGGGTTTCGTAGGCGATCAGTCTTTAAGACCGTAGAGAAGGTCAAGAAGTCAGTGTGTAGTATCGGCCTAATTGTTTGGGGATTGTTTTTGTCATGCAAGCTCGCCACGCCCTCTAAGTATTAGGATGCGGAATGAAATTAAAACAATGGAAATAAATATTCGTAAATAACGCAAATAAAGAAACGAACGATTTTAAACTGAGTCAGTAACATCATTGAGTAGTTCTGTTTCATCTTGGAAAGTGTGCAAACGTAGCCGTATTCCCTCAACAATTTCCCGACGTACATAGATGACTCTTATCAATTCTTACTATCAAAAACAACAATATCCACAGATGTTCTTTATTTATATCAGTCATGGCCCAATTATTTCTCAGTGTTACCATTAATTTCATATTTCAGGTTTTGAGGATGCTTTTGGGATAGTGTCAGTCTGTTGTAAGTCAGTAAGCACTATATTTTAGAGCTGGAAAAAAAGTTAGTAAGAGAGTGACACCCTTTTGGGGTGTGAGCTGCTACGGAAAATTGTCAGCACCTACTTTTTCACCTATTGGCTTTGAAAATCCTGTGACTGTCTTGCTGAGACAAACAAAAAATCCGCCAAAGGTTCTTCAATGAACGAGTGACTTTCACAAAGTCTGACATGATGAAAGTTACAGCCTGAATCAAGGTAATATTAATTACTGAAGAAATAAATTGCTAGTCATATAAAAAAAAAATCGTCGATATAAACCCTTTGGTTGTGGACACGCAATGTACCTCTATAGTCGGCACTCTTTTATCATGATGTGAATTCTACTTTATAATTAGCTTTGTATTGCTCAATTCTTTGAAAGCTAGCGGGAAACAAAGAAGTTTTCATGCAGGAAGAGAAAAACTAAAAGCGACAGAATCGCCCCGTTTCTCAACACTCACTAAAGAAGGCAGGCAAAAGATTAGATAATTCAGACTATCGATGTCGGGAAATCACAGAGTTAAGTACAGCACGTACTAAGAGAAATATTATTCTCGGAATAAAAATGCCAAAACAAGGGGTGAAAAACAAGAAAAATAATGATAAAGATAATGAAGATAAGAAATCAAAGTAAAAAAAAAAAAAATTCACAAAACAATTCATTTAACAGGAGATAAAGTCCCTAAAAGCTTCAAAAAACCCTAATCTTATTACCTACGACTGGTAAGCCCCAAGGTCCTGGTGGTAACTTTTTGGAAAACGAACGTTTTTCCAAAACTGCTTTACCAAAGAGAAGAACAGAAATCACAATGCAAGGAAATGATAACGCTCCAAGCCAGGAAAAATTTGCGGTGATGAAAGAAACATCCATGGTCGGGGAATGAAGTACAAAATTTGCGCCGGCTGTTCGTGCAACAACCGTGCTCGCGTTTCACATGTCGACTGATAGTGTGTGAGTTTAAATATGGGAGCAAATTGTTTACACTTCATTGGATCCCCATCGATTATCGGCTATTATCACGCTATTCTGTCAATAACTTGTTGGTTCACGTTTTGAGCGAAGCTTCTTTGTTTTTTATTGAGAAAAAGTCACGATGGGTATCAATTATTGATGAACATAGCAGTCGACGTATTCTTAACACACTTTCGATCATACTTTCACTCACAGGCACTATTACTCCCTTATAGTTTTAAATAAGACTAATCAAATTTTACTGGAAGCTTATAGGGCACTTATACCAAACTACCCTCGGGCAGCTTCAATACTGACACCACCTTAAGAATGCATATTAGAATTTAAATTTGATATTAAACAGAAACTAATCCGTCTTAGCCTAACACATATTTGAATGCACTGTATAGCATTCCGTCAGTTATTTACTACTATGACAATGAGAATTAATTAAACGCTCTGATTAGCATCGTAGCCATCTCTGGCCACCTTGCAACGATCCCGTTAATTTGTGTTTCCGCTTAAAGGTGCCACGTATAATTTCGTGAAACTGAAGAGACACTCGCAACCTTGCAGGAAAAAAGAAAAGGATGCTTTGGATTGAAACCCACCAGCCATCAACGAAGTTTTTGATACACCAATCACTAACAACCACAGTGGTACAAATAGCCCTACTCAAATAAATCGACACTATCGCCTGATAAAGACCTCAAGTATGTGGTCGAAACGTCGCGATCAATATTTAAGTGGTAAACAGAAAATGAAACCATTGGTTACCCTTTATAAAAAAAGATATCCAATTACATGTTTTAAAGTTAAAATTATCCACTAATTACCTCCTATTTACCAACATACCAATGGAAAAGAAGAATCATTACATTATTTACCACCTGAACTCAATGGCGTGAGTTTTTCTATGACCTATTTGACTGATACGGAGATAAGCCGCATTGCATAAACTAATTAACAACCTACTTGTATCGGAGCAAACTAATTGTTTTCGGTGAGTTTGCACGATAAATCACTTAAGGTATTAGGAATACTGATGTCGGTTAAGGTGAAGTTAAAAGCTGATATTCTTATATTTCAAGTACAGTCGGCAAACCCCGCTTTGCGAACACTCCCTCAACACGGACATCTCAGTATTACGGACAGTTTGCTGTGTCCCTGGCGAAACAAAGCCCTCACATTTTCTCTAAATTCAACCTGTTTAATACGGACGCCCCGTTAATGCGAAGAACACGTCTTTCTATATGGCCCCTCAGTGTCCGTATTAACGCAGTTTGACCGTGTACAGAAATAAGGATTGTAAGATGTGACCGGCCGTAAAAGCGTGTTCATCTTTCCAACATAGTTTTCAATCATTTCGTCCTTCTTCTTTAATTTTTAAATAGCGTAGTTTCCCTCTTAGACCCAAAGATGAATGTCAGCAAGAAAAAAGATCTTTTTCGAAGCGCAGACATAAACTTCGAAGCTCTTCATTGTGTAATTGAGCAAGCTGGGTTGTGCAAACTATCAGTCCTTGTCTGCTTGTGATTCTAGAGCAATGAATTTCCAAATCATCATTGACTGAGCATTTTACTCCCGTGTTTAATTGTTTATTTTAAAATATTTTAAAGAATTACTGTTGGAGTTCTCTTTATATTTGGCCTCATAGAGTCACGGGGCTCGTTTAAACTGAGTGTTGTGTAACAAAACCTCCGTTTTTTAAACTTTCCGCTAGACAAGTGAACTTGGCCTTAATCAAAATGCGTCGAAGGGTCAACGCATAGATATAATTAAGATTTAGGTGACATTTATAGACGCTATAGTTTCTAGTTTGGCCACAAAGTAAATAAAGAGTGTTAATCATTTCATCCTCCCCCTCCCTTAAAGGTTAAGCAAATAAAACTTGGTTCTTCGCGGACAGGTTTTTAAATATCGAACTTCGTTTATAAAAGTGTCGATTTTATTGAGAAAAGCCTTCTACATCCAATCAAATTGCAGCAATTAGAACAAATTCCAATTCAAACAATCAATACCCATGAAGAGGAACTTTAACTCTGTTCTTCCTAGTAATAAAATGACAACGATTCACCTTTTTCTTTGTTGTTGTTGTTTTTTTTTTGCATCCCTACTCATTTATAAAAACAGTAAACTTTTAATGTCTAAAATAGGATTTGGTAATCTTTCGAGATAATTCCAATTGGAGCTTTTTTGATGAAGTGCGACTAAGTTTAGAGCCGGCAAAAGAGTTTCATGGTGAAAGAAAGAAAACTCATATACTTATGTGTTTCCACCACTTACACAATGCCTTCCTTTACAAAATGCATGAGTGAAACTGGAGAAAAACGATAGCAACATTGATAAGTAATGAAATGAACTTGTGGCACCATTCACATGAATGGTCCTCCAACCAAATTTCTCAGTAATCTTTGACTTTTCTTCTATTGTTATTGGTCAAGTCAAGAAGAATAAGAAGTCAACAGGACGGAAGAAAGAGAAAGAACACAAGAAAAAAAAGTACAAGAACAAAAAGAAGAAGATAGGAATTCACAGGGAGATTAGGTTTGAGGTCGAGGTCGGGTGATTTAAACTAGAAAACATATTATCTCCTTTTCATTTTCATCATGGCTTAAATTAGTTGAATAAAAGCTGCAAACAGCGGGTGTTCAATCAAAATATCAGCTCAAAACAACTGATCACCAATTACTTTGGGAGACAAATTTATTGCCATTTTCTTTTTGGATGTCCAAACAAGTACAAGTAACTTTTCATCAAGGGGTTCACTCTTGTGACCTTCGTTTTACAAGGGATTATGTGCGAAAATCATTACTCATTTGTCTTCTGATCTTAGATCTTTCTTCTTCGTCCTCTGATCTTCAGCTGATGTGCGAAGGGTTGAGGGATAAAAGTCTTTCAAGTGTAAAGGTCTTAAAAGATGTTTACACTTACTGTTACCTATCAAAGCAGTTCACAGATCCATCACTGAAAAGGTGGAACTTTTGCGATTGATACAAGTTGGATGCAAAGTCGGAATGACTTTATACTGAACGTCGATGAGACAAGAGATAGAGATGGCAATCAAGGTGACGGTGATTATGAAAGGCAAGATGGAAAAGTCAAGTTGCAGTGAGGACATCATATGTGGCCAGTCTCCTTTTCAGGCATGCGATGGCGTGTTTGTTTGTGCAAAAACTTGCGAGGGGCAACACATGTTATAAGAAATCTCCCTACGGTAAAGCGTACTCGCTTACCGATTGTAGGTTAAGGTCGAACTCCTACTCACGAGAACTAATGAAAAGAAAAATGATTGCATGACCTCACAACACCAGGTTAAGTGTATTACTAAGTGTATTTGATAAATTTCTGGATCACAACTAATACACATTATCATTCACTCAACAGATTGAGAACATTCACTGCACTCTATATTGCTAGTCCGCGAGAAATGCCGTCATTACGTGTCGATTGTGCCTCAGGACAGGTAATTTCTTGGACATTCGATGGAGCTGTATCTATTTGAAAAGCCCTTCTTGTGATCTGGCCAATCGAAATCGTCTTAGAACTGCACAGTCACCCAACTAACCGGCATAAAAACAAAATTTGATCTGAGAACATTAACCTAGCCCAGCGAAAATGTGACACCAAATTACAGGGCAGCAACTTAATAGTGATGATCATGCACAAATGAAGTAACGAAGCATCTAGCTTTGGGGAGAAACAGATCATTAAGGCATCAACCAAACTAAACTGAACCATTTCGTTAAGGACATTTTGCCGTCAGCAGCGAGAAAACGTTTCCTATTCGATTCAGCATCGACAAAAATAGATAGAAAGAATACTTTGGGTGTTTGATCCAAACTCGCCTCGATCACTGTGAATTTGCGTCAAAACGTAGAGAATTTTCCCTCTGATTTTCTTAAAAAGGAAAAAAAAACGATAGCTTCCTCGAAAGAGCTACAATTAGAATTTACGCCTTGTAGACACGTTTATCCCGCTACAAGGTCATTTAGGTCTAGTTACTAAGTACTTAACTATGGTAAGGAAAGAAAAAAAACAAAGGCTTCTTTTCTTGAGTTTTTACTCTTGTGGTTAATTTTCTAAATCATTTTGATGGATACTATTTACTTAAAAACATTTTTCTTTCCATGGTCCAATTAGCAGTAAAGTTTTTACTAAACATTTTGAATGTATGCAGTCCCCAGTGGTGGTAAAGATTTTATTAAAAGGGAAACTAAAGGCAAGACAACTGGTTCAGAATAACTAATGCAGGTAAATTCAACTCAAGGGGAAAAGCTAAACCTAAGGTTACAGTTTTAGAGATTGGCTAACTGTTTTTTCTTAATCATATAAGTTAATTTGTAGTTACTGACATTGTTTAATACTTTAGGGGCGAAAAAGAAATATTAACACATGTACGTCGATTTAACATTGAAATATTACTGAAATCTGGTTGAAACGCACGATTCTTGATATTGCAAAATAATATGGAGTTACTACACTTACGTGATGGCTGTCATTGTTATAGCTAAAGCTGGCAAAAATCAGGCAATAGCAAACCACTAAAATAAACAACTTTCGCTAAGGGCACGCGATGTACCTACAGCCCATACGCTTCTGTCATGCAACGGACGTGCTACTATAATTAGCCATTCATTATGCAGTTTTATTCGGGTGGTTCTGAAACAAAGAGCCTTCCGTAAAAAAGAGTTGCTTGTTCTCGAAAAAAAACATAGAGAAGGAATGATTGATGCATAGATTATTCACCTTTGCGTAAATGCGACTTAAGTTTTTTTTTTATTTGTTTATCGTGACAAAGTCATTTCTGACACGTCCGACTCTAAAATGGGGCAATTAGAAATCGCAGTTTTCGGAGTAAATCACAGAAAAATTGGCAGAAGTAATAAGACTGTAAGGCTTATTAAAGAAACTTGACCACAGTAAAAACTGTGAAAACTTCGAGAAAGTGCATGTTTAATATCATATATCGCTAGAAAAACTC